TTTATGCAGTAAATGGTTTGAACCCGGGGGTAACATGTGAAGGTGTAGTCTGATCGTCCGGGTGAGTGTAGTCCTGAGAAGGACTGTTGTCGGTGGTAGTGACTGACGTTTCGACAACCTGTGCGGAAGTCATCATCAGAGTCAAGTGAATGATTGGTGAGACTACATCGGTGAGACTGGCAGAAACCTCACAACAAGACTGACTGAACACAGACGGGCGACGAGGAAAGGTGATGTCAGCAATCACATTGCTGAACACCATCGACTTACCAACCACAACATTGACTGGGACTCTGCGCAATGCCTAACCTACAGCACTGACTATTTTCAACGACTGACTCTGGAAAGCTGGTTTACTAACTTAGAACAGACTCCCCTAAACAGATGTCAACAACTACCCGCTCCATACAAACGACTCATTCACGACATAAACATCACAAACGACCGAAAAAGAACGACCTAACTTTACCGACAGATCGAAACAGACCAATCACGACCGACTTACGTCACTTGAGTCTTACAGCCAATAACATCACGGCAAAACCAACCGATCATTTCACACGAACTGGAATAAGAACATTCTACTGACAACAATCATTCACTTGACTCTGATGATGACTTCCGCACAGGTTGTCGAAACGTCAGTCACTACCACCGACAACAGTCCTTCTCAGGACTACACTCACCCGGACGATCAGACTACACCTTCACATGTTACCCCCGGGTTCAAGCCATTTACTACATTACTGTTTTAGTATATACTGATAGTGGCTAATCGCTTCAGAACTAGCCGCTTAGCGCGCGCGAAAAGCACTCTACTACGAACCTGTGTCAGACGATGTACGCACTCTGATTGCGTTGCATCATGGTCATAAAAAAAAAAAATGAGTTATCTGCATCTTGGCGCGTTCAAGTGAACTTCTCGGATGGCAGCGAGATAGCGTGAATAGAGGTGGATTTTAAAGGGGATTCACTGTCTGTTGCGGTTCCTTCCAGAGTTAAAAAGTTTGACAGGCCTGCGCCTCTCATGTCATTTCTCCGTGCCGAATTCGTTCTTAAGAGGCAACCGACTTTAATTAAGAAAGAGTCGAAACTTCGAGCTACCGAAGAATCTCTACACAAATGGCAGGAGTTATTCTCTCAGCCGACGGTGGGATGAATAATATCAAAGTCAGAAATTCTATTCCTGGGCATGAGTCATTTAGTTGGAAATTGACCCTTGACATGCAAACACATGTAGAGGTAGAGGTTTTCATGGATCACAAGACTCTTTTCATTGCTCCAATTAAACTGTCCTTCATTCAATGATCAACATACTGTAGTAGATTTACCATTCAACACTCGCGACTAGTTAATTAGCCTTCACTTAGGAAAGTAGATTTACTACACGATTGAGTACATATAGTAAATGTCCTTGCAGCAGTAATGCTGTATAACGCCACACTAAACGCAACAATAGGACGTTCCGCCGTCATATCAGGTCTCAAACAATGTACCAATGGAGAGTGTTTGAGAGCGTTCGCTCAGATCCGTTGAAGGAAGATCAAAGGGGTCATACAAATCTTTGAAAGCTTCAAACTACGATGTACAACGAATTTGACCTCGAAATTACATGCTGAAAAACAGTGCTTGCGTTTGTCCTTGAGAACGATAGAATACGCGACAAATACGTACTTCTACACATTCAGAATATATCAAATTACATTTACCTTTAGTGAAAGGAAAACGAAACGGCTTAACTTTTACTGAATATTCATTCAAAATCTGCCGATTTCTGCCGCTTTTACTGCAATATTGAACCGCCTGTACCTGTGCGGTATACATGTAAACGAACATTACAGTCAACCAATCAATACACGCCGAAGTTTTGTCTTTCACCCTTTAATGATCATGATTGACAGTAGAACGTTGGTTGATTAATTGGTTGACTCATACGTGATCAATAAGAATTGATAGCAAAGCGCAAGATATGGACGACGAAGTACTGCGCTTTGAAGCTATTTTGAAATCCTTCCTTGACTCGGTGGGATTTAAGCTCAAGATTTCAAAACGGATCACAGGCAATTCCGTTCAAAATGAAGAGGCCACATCATCGACGTCAGATAAAGAGAAAAGAGAGAAGCTTCATAGAAAGGGAGTTGTGAAGAGTGTTCCTTCGGTAACGCCGCAGCTGGAGCTAGTTTCCTTGTTCCTAAAGCTGTGGTTACGACGAACGCGTGTTCAAAAGGAGAAAAGAAGTCAAGAAAATCAGGTCGACGAACAGTTAGTGAGGGAAGCAGTTTATTCCACAGAAGCTTTGAAAGTAACGCGGAGGCACCTGACATGCCCGTTTCATATGACCATCATGATACATAATCATGAGAGAAACTTCCGAATTCATTTCCTACGTCGTCAATGGCCTCTCGAGAAATTTGAAACCACATTGAATGCCGACTTTTTGGAAAAAATGAGGGAAGAAATTTGTATGGAAGAACGCGACTGTCTGGAAAAAGAAACAATCCGTGTTTGTTCTAGCCTCGGTCTTCGCATTGACTTTCTCGACCGTCTTCAAGATATGCCAGAAAAACTTCGACATCATAGGACGCTGTGTGAGTGGATAGTTATTTTCTTAAAGAACAACTACACAGCCTTGTCTGATCTGTCGGGAAAGAACTCTCTTAGCAAAGAACTGCTTCATGACATCGGATTCGATCCTTTGAGTTTGACTGCCGATTTAATTATGGAGCGTGCGAGTAGTATGGCAAAACACATCGATCCGTGCGATTGGGCTGAAATCTTTATTCAAGATGAGTTTCGATGCAACCCGTTCTTAAATTCTGATGACAACCAGCTTGCCAGGAGCGAGTTTCCTTTTCAGAGCACTAAAATACATGAATGGTTTCAAGTTTCACTTTCCAAAAGGAACGTGACTGAAGGCAACCCTGAGTCTTACGTCAACATTGTGAACGTTCAAGGATGGATCTCTGCGAGTGAGATTCCTTGTCACTCGATAGAGGAACAGTTTGAANCCAGCAAATATCAAATGTATCCCCACTCTTGACGAGGGACTATGTAAGATGCGTTAACAACCTATCAGCTGCAGAAACGGTACCCTGTACAGACTCATTCATAAATTGTAGAAGGATGCGAAAGAATTATCTGGATTTGTCTAGAATTTAGCACAATTATTACGATAATGAACGAAATGCAAGCCTGTCTGTCTGTCGAAGAGGCAAATAGTTAGACAGAGCTCTAATCATACATTAACTCTTCGAATCCACTGAATTTGTATTACACGTGAAAAAGTATTTTACTAGGAAATAAAATATAAAGTACAGAGGGTTTTTTTTCAATTGAGTGATTTAATCGCTTACAGTGAAAGAATTTAAACTATATGATTGTGTCTATAGCGATTAATGATTTTCATTTCAGTTGAATATTTCAGCCTTAGGCCGAAACGGTAGACTTTCCAGCAAATATCAAAAGCATTCACTAGACGAGGGACTATGTGAAATGCGTTCACAGCCAGAAACGCAACTCTGTATGGACTTATCCAAAACTGTTTGAAAGATGGGAAAGAATTAACTGGATTTAGCTAAATTTAGTGTAATAGTGAGCTTGAGTATCACGTTAAAGAACGGAATGCAAGGTTGTTTGGAGTAATGTCCGTCGAGGATGCAAATAGTTAGACTAAGCTCAAACACAGTAGACATTACTCTTCCAGTAAACTTATATTATAAGTAAGAAAATATTCTACTAGGAAATATGACATGAAGTAAAGGGGTTTGTGTTTTATTCATTTATTGGTTACCTGTAGAAAGAAACAAAAGCTTTCGTGTCGCTTCGGCTGAACAATGTTTCTCTCTTGTACAACTGAATCACCTCTTTGAACCCTAAACCGAAAAAACCTTGCACTAAGTCTGCTTGTTGACGGTTTCATCGTAACCAAATTTTCGGTAAGAACCCTTGTTTTTAGCTTTATGTTTGCTGAAAAGGTTTGATGGCACCAATTACAACTGCGTGATTTTTATAAAAATAAGTTTCAATGGGTGAAATTTATTCAAGTTTAAGACAAAAATTATCACGCCGTCGCATCGCCCAGAATGCTATTGTCTTCCGCGAAATGTCCTTGCAGTGCCCATTAAATGAGCGGGCGGCATATAACAGTTTGCATACCTTGAACATTAAAGTTCAAGTTATGCAAATTAAAGGTACCTTGATTAACTATGCCTTAAACTATTCGGTTGTGATTAGTGAGCAGATTATGTTTTGGGGTTACAAGAGTCTCTTTGCTAATTTCAGCTGCTGTCAATCAAACGGTTGGATGCGTAAAGTAAATACCAACGTACGACAAAGTGCACAAGACAGCAATAATTAACAATAGCCGACAGCGTGAATTACATGTTCCAAGCTTTTTCTGAGACTCCCGGATCGCGCTCTCACTTGGACTCGGCTATTTCTGTCAACGTCTCTTTGTCTTGTATTGCGCAATTGGTCATTCCAAATGACCACCGAGGCAATAACTAAGATGTGGGGTTCGTCATGCCTGTCTGACTCCAATCTCGTTGATTCCTAAGTTCTCTCTTAAAGCTAAAATATTCAAAAACCTTAAGTCATAATTAGGAATTATTCACCGACAGTAAAGTGAACTATATTTTTATCATTTACGACACAGAAACCAAAAGATAAATTATTTCTGTCAATGTACCGAAAAATGGTCGGAAATTAGTGTCTCGACGCGTGATTTCGTTTTATTCGCTGCTCGGCGGTAAATAGTTGTTGCTAATCACCTCAGAAAGAGCCACTCAGCGCGCGCGACTTGATTTTCATCAAATTTAAAAAATAGGGAATTATCAATACTTTTGAGATTTCAGTTGAGTTAGTTTTTAGAACGGCTGGAGACCTATCTATATCAATATTTTTTTTATAAATTTTCAGTCTGATACTGAGGGTATTTCGTCTTTTTCCCTCAGAGGGACACAAACATGCGTTCTCTATAAATAACCTTCTAACTTTAAATAAAACTTTTCTTTGAGTATCTCCCGCACGAGACATTGCACAGACCTGAATCTTTGTGAGACTGTTTGAATCTTCATCCTTTTTTATCTCTTTGATTCTTGACTTCATTTGTTGCATGGTTTTGATGATGGTGTGACAGTGAAAACCGACAATACCTGTTTGGAATTGACATACATTACTGAGTGAACCAATCAACTCAGGCCAAGTTTTATCTGTACTCATTACTGGATGTAAGCATTTATAATTTATGATTGGTTCTAGCATAGGAAAGAAACTCTTTTTGTTTCTAAAGGCTCAGAATAAGACTTTTCTCCGACCCACGTCAGAGTGAATAAATTAATGCTCATAATATAGTTCTTTTCACCCTTCATTTAAATTTAGCAATTGTATGTCATCGTGATTGACAGTAAAACGTTGGTTCATTGGTTGACTCGTGAGTGATAAACACGAAGTGATACCGAAGCAAAAGGTATGGAAGACGAAGAACTGCGCTTTGAAGCTATTTTAAAATTCTTCCATGACTCGGCGGGATTTAAGTTTAAGATTTCAAAATGGGTCACAGGCAATTCCTTTCAAAATGAAGAGGCCACATCATCGTCGTCAGATAAAGAGAAAGGAGAGGAACTTCTTAGAAAGGGAGTTGTGAAGAGTGTTCCTTCGGTAACGCCGCAGCTTGAGCTTGTTTCCTTGTTTCTAAAGCTGTGGTTACGACGAATACGTGTTCAAAAGGAGAAAAGGTGTCAAGAAAATCAGGTCGACGAACAGTTAGTGAGGGATGCAGTTTATTCCACAGAAGCTTTGAAAGTAGCGCGGAGGCACCCGACATGCCCGCTTCATATGACCATCATGATACATAATCATGAGAGAAACTTCCGAATTCATTTCCTACGTCGTCAATGGCCTCTCGAGAAATTTGAAACCACTTTGAATGCCGACTTTTTGGCAAAAATGAAGGAAGAAATTTGTAAGGAAGACTGCGACTATCTAGAAAAAGAAACAGTCCGTGTTTGTTCTTGCCTTGGTCTTCGGATTGACTTTCTCGACCGTCTTCAAGATATGCCGGAAAAACTTCGACATCATAGGACGCTATGTGAGTGGATAGTTATTTTCTTAAAGAACAACTACACAGCCTTGTCTGATCTGTCGGGAAAGAACTCTCTTAGCAAAGAACTGCTTCATGACATCGGATTCGATCCTTTGAGTTTGACTGCCGATTTAATTATGGAGCGTGCGAGTAGTGTGGCAAAACACATCGATCCGTGCGATTGGGCTGAAATCTTTATTCAAGATGAGTTTCGATGCAACCCGTTCTTAAATTCTGATGACAACCAGCTTGCCAGGAGCGAGTTTCCTTTTCAGAGCACTAAAATACATGAATGGTTTCAAGTTTCACTTTCCAAAAGGAACGTGACTGAAGGCAACCCTGAGTCTTACGTCAACATTGTGAACGTTCAAGGATGGATCTCTGCGAGTGAGATTCCTTGTCACTCGATAGAGGAACAGTTTGAAAACTTGTATCACGGTACAGATCATGACAGTGCTGTGGACATCTTGAATGGTCGCGGCATACATCTACCGGCAGGAAGGCAGAAACGAGATTTCAGCTCTGGAAAAGGGTTCTACCTAACAAAATCATTTGAGATAGAATAAATATATGAAAATCATATGTTGAACTGCGGTATTTGATACGTATGATGCACGATCCTCGCAGTAGATAGCGCTATTTAAGCAATAGCGAAATTCAGACCTGAAAAAAATCAGGCCTGTACGGGACTCGAACCACTGACCTCTGCGATACTAGTGCAGCGCTCTAACCAATTGAGCTAACAAGCCANATCATGACAGTGCTGTGGACATCTTGAATGGTCGCGGCATACATCTACCGGCAGGAAGGCAGAAACGAGATTTCAGCTCTGGAAAAGGGTTCTACCTAACAAAATCATTTGAGGATGCCTACAAGTGGGCTAAGAGAAAGTCAGTCAAGCCAGCCGTTTTGGTATTCCGACCGAAACATGATGAGTTCTGGAATAATGAAAAGATCCAGAGATTGACTTTGCTTTCAAATGAAAACCCCGAAGAATGGAAGGAGATCGTAGCTTTATTTCGGTCGGGAAAACAGTCGACTAAGAAACGAGAGATTTTAAGAGATTACGACTTGATCGAAGGTTCTGTGGCAAAAGTAAGCCACGTGAGTGGCCATCTCGAGTACAAAGCAATACCTTTGTCTTACCAGGTGTGTTTGATTTCAAAAGACTTTGCGAGAAAGTTTCGAAAGAGTCTTCACTCGATCTTGTTCTTCAGCGATCATTCGGTAAGATATTATTAAGCAAGGTCTTCGCGTGTTGTAAGCCAAGCATGGATTTCGTCAGTTAAAAGCTAAATCCAGCCATGGATATAAGAAGAAACCAAAAAAGCCACTAGATCCGCTTGATCTCTGACTAGTTTTTGTCAGACTGTGGATACGGATTGTATGTGTTTCAAACTAATTTTTAACATTTAAAAGCAACATGCCAACCAACTATCCAGTACTTGAATGAGTTTTTATCACGAAGCTTCCTTTGTTCAGCTAAGGATTTTGTTGTTTATGGACGTATGATTATGTATCGATAATGATAGTAGCCGTTCCAGCAAATATCAAATGTATCCCCACTCTTGACGAGGGACTATGTAAGATGCGTTAACAACCTATCAGCTGCAGAAACGGTACCCTGTACAGACTCATTCATAAATTGTAGAAGGATGCGAAAGAATTATCTGGATTTGTCTAGAATTTAGCACAATTATTACGATAATGAACGAAATGCAAGCCTGTCTGTCTGTCGAAGAGGCAAATAGTTAGACAGAGCTCTAATCATACATTAACTCTTCGAATCCACTGAATTTGTATTACACGTGAAAAAGTATTTTACTAGGAAATATAATATGAAGTACATAGGGTTTCTTTCCAATTCAGTGATTTAATCGCTAACAGTGAAAGAATTTAAACTATATGATTATGTGTGTGTAGTGATTAATGATTTCCATTTCAGTTGAATATTTCAGCCTTAGGCCGAAACGGTAGACTTTCCAGCAAATATCAAAAGCATTCTCTAGACGAGGGACTATGTGAAATGCGTTCACAGCCAGAAAAGCAACTCTGTATGGACTTATCCATAAATATTTGAAAGATGGGAAAGAATTTACTGGATTTAGCTAAATTTAGTGTGATCGTGAGCGCGAGTATCAAGATAAAGAACGGAATGCAAGGTTGTCTGGAGTGATGTCTGTCGAGGATGCAAATAGTTAGACTGAGCTCAAACACAATGTACATTAACTCTTACATTGAATTTATATTATACGAAATAAAGTATTCTACTGGGATATATAACATGAAGTAAAGAAGTTTGTTTTTTATTCAGTTATTGGTTACTTGTAAAGTGAAACAAAAGCTTTTGTGTCGCTTCGGCTGAACAATGTTTCTCTCTTGCACAACTGAATCACCTCTTTGAACCCTAAACCGAAAAAACCTTGCACAAAGTCTGCTTGTTGACGGTTTCATTGTAACAAAATTTTCTTTAAGAACCCTTGTTTGTGGCTTAATGTTTGCGGCTGGAAACATGGGTGAAATATCATGTTGAGAGAAATAGAGACTTCAGCTGAGACAGATATCGGTTTTGCACATCTTATATGCTATCATCCTAGGGTGTTGCTTAATTTCGTCGACTGCCTTAAAAGTATCGCAATTACATTAGCGGCTCTGTAACTGTGAAGTATAAAGTTGTAAGCAAACTAAAGTAAACTTTAGCGGATCGACCGTTTGATTTCACCTGTTTGCAGAATTGTAGGCAAGCCAGCAACATTGAACAGCAAAATTGCAAAAATTAAAATCGTAATCATCTAAATTGGATCGCTTATACGCCACTTCTGATTACAATATGCCTTTGATCATGTCTGAAAATCGGGTTCTTTTTCCACCGCAATGCAATTACATTTACCTCTTATGAGGGCAGAGTTTGTGACTCTAGCAAACCAGTTGAATTACGTTAAAGTTTAACATAGCAGCTCCATAACATTGAAGAAGATTACTGAGCTGGCCAATCCACCCCTTTAAGGATGTACACTTCATACTCAGAGTAAAATATCACCTCTCTAGCTCTAATAGGGTAGTAACATAGGACATAAGCCTCTATTGCTCGTGAGAACATGATTTTATTAAGCAAATAATTGTGTTCATGATTATGTTATGAGACTGATAAGACAAATTCTTTCTTCTCAATGACTCACCAACTGTGGTGGTTTTTCGAAGAAAATAACGGAGTGAAATTTCTGGTCGAAAAACTGCGCACAGTCGATGTTTCTTATGCAAAGTTGGCGTTTGGGAGGTGAATCGGGTTGAAGCTCGCCGTCTCTACTTGTGCTAGAAATAGGTCCTTGAATAAAGCTGTAGTGTTCGAGTTGTTCGCGAAGTTCACTATCAATTCTTCCTCTCTCTATCTGGCGATATTCTTTTACCACTTTTCTCCACTCCTCTAAATTGTCATTGAAATCAAGTCCACAAAAGTTTTGATTTAATTCCTCTTCATCAACAAAGTATATAAGAACTGCTGCTCCCAAGTTAGCGTGGTTCGAACCGCGAGATCTAGCAAATTCAGCTTATTGAATACTTTCAGAGAAATCGTCCGTGACATAAAACCCTTCCCCGTCACTGAAGTCGAGTCGTTCTCCGCCTTTGGTGATGTCGATTCTCTCCCGCAAGATCTTGAGCGCAGATTCATGGCTTGTACCATGAAAAAAGAGTGTACCAGGTAAGTCTGGAAGAGGAGCTCTTTCCTTTACGATGTTTTGCCATCTTTGCCATTGTCCCCTTTCTTCTTCATTGAGGCTAACATTTAAAGTAGTTATTTCTCGTTCTGGTTCGCCAAGAATATTGTGTCCAAACCATTCATTTGTGGTCTCTTCTTTGTAGGGGAAACGGTTGCATTGCAACAACCAACTCAGGAAAACCAGTCTCTCGAATCTTCGGTGTAAATCCTTACCGATCACGCGAATTAATCTATGCAATTCTGGAGCAGCATTCTCAAATTTTGCCCAAAAATCTTCCTGTTTCACTACCTCAGACAGTAACTGGTAGGAGCAAGGTTGAGCAACAGAGACGCAAGACATGAGCTCGGTTTTGTCCGATGAAACTTGAGAGACTTTTGCAACTATTTCGATTATTCTGCCTCGATTGGCTGACTGCCTCAGAATTTGTCTTGACCTCACAACAAGTGAGCGCGGCAGCTATGCTGCTTCCAATAAATCTGGTTCCGGCACGTCTCATAATAACCGCCAAAAGACTGGGAACTATTGAAATCACCTTTCATAAATGTTACCTCAAAAGTGATCGACAGCATATTTTAACAATAATTTTATGTGCTCACTAGCCACTGTCCAATTTCTAGGGGTGATGCTCCTGCCCTGGAGAGGGTAAGGGAAACCTAGAGGTGGCTTTCCACTCGAAATTTAAAAATTTCAAGCGCATTAAGCGAGCACGTCGGTGATAATTGAAATGACCAAATTTATTACGTTGTCACTTTTTCTAAATGATGGTATATCATTTAGATATACCATCATTTAATATATATATTAAAAATTTCAAGCGCATTAAGCGAGCACGTCAGTGATAATTGAAAAAACCAAATTTATTAGGTTGCCGCTTTTTCTAAATGATGGTATATCCATCGAGATCTTCAAAGCAGATCTCGATGGATATAGGTCACCTGACAGCAGCTAGCCGACTATACCATCTGCCAATCTGTTACTATCTTTGGTCAGAAGTTCCTTTCAGACTAATGACCAACCAGGCACTTTTAAATGCGCTCGTGCACGATTCAAAACGTGTCCTTTCATTCACAACACTGAGAAAATATTGGGACCCAAACGATCCATTAAGATCACCGATCACTTCACGTGCACCTCCGCCAATGTAATCCATTGCATAACGTGCACTTATTGCAAAAAGATTTACATCGGCGAAATAGGCAGAAGACTAGGTGACCGATTCCGAGAACACCTTCGCGACGTGGAGAGGAATGACAAGGACACATCGAAACCAGTCGCTAGACATTTTAATTTACCTAANAAATAACGTAGCTCCATTTTCTGCCTTTAAAAGCACACACAACCCACAATTCCTCTATTCGCTCCGACGAAGGGCTAACGCTCGAAACGTCAGCTTTTCTAACCGTAACGGTGGCCAATTTACCATTTCAACTTTGTTGATATATTCAAATTATTTCGTTACCCCCACCGACGCAGCCCCAAACAGTTTCTTTAGAAACTATCAGCCTTTTTTCTTACTATCTTTCTTTGTGTTTTTTTTTTAACTCCTCATTTTTGTTACCGACTGAGAAAAACGTGATTGTTGCGCTGAGTCGTGTCGCCTCTGGCAATACTTTTCCAAAATCAGGACGAAAAGCAATTGCCAACTGTTGATTTGCCCATTAGATACTTCATTTGAATAATCTATACAGACGTGAAGTACGATTTTTGTGACTTCACGACCACTAGCACTTGAAGAAAATCATTACCTTTTGCAGCATTGCTTGGTTGGGAATTTTTAGGGGGAAAATTCAGCCGTGAAGATGATTTTTAACGAATGTTCACAATTGTTTAATTTTTCTTCTCTTTAGCATGTCACGAACGGGTGACAATGCAATTTTAATATAGTCACCTGTCACCTTTTGAAGAGACAAAAACCAAACAGAAGTGTTTTCAAAGCTAAGTGAGTCGGAGGTTCTTCCTTGTTTTGAACTGAACTACAACCTCTTTTGCTCGCGACAACGAGAAAGCAAGAGAATCTTGTGAACACGGCCCAGAAAATGGCAAGCTAAAGATCAACCAAACAAACAGAGAGGCGACAACTTTATTATTAATTACGGCAAATATTACAGAAAGCAGTATCCACTGCCCGCAGTTAGCAGATTAGCTAGTCGAGGCGAGCAGTGGTTACACGCATGTTATATATATATACAAATACAAAGGGCGCACAAGAAAGGCTAGAGACAAAGATTAAAAAAAATGTTAAATAAATAAACAAATAAATAAAAATAAATTCAAATCAATTAAGTTTACATTGCAACTATAAGAAGCCGTGTTTTCAGGAAATTTTTGTTATTAAGTTGGGTAAATCGATATAATCATTTTCTTCTGAAAGTATTTGGAGTAAAGTGTCATGGACATTGATTTTAAAGTTATTTTTGGACATTTGACACATTTCACACGGTAAACTATTCCAGAATTTTACATCATACCTTGAAAAAGACTTAGTTTGTTTGTGTAACGACGGAAGAAGTGCCAGGGTCGATTGTCACATATACAGAAGAAGAAAACAACACCTTCAAAGACGACATGGCCTTTGAAAACACGAAAAAGGGCATTAGTACCTTCGTGTGCTGCTTGCAATCGTGGTACTTAGAAAAGCACAAAACAGAGCTGAACTTGAACAGCACTTCTAAATCAGAAGCTCCACAACTTCTGAAGGACTATTTTTTCTTCGAAATACGACAAAGAGCAAAAGAAAACAAAGGTAAAGCCTCTCGAACAGACTTAGGCAAATACGAGACCATTCATGGTCTCCGAAGATATTTTTTGCAGTGTCCATGTCCTCCAGCTCCTGAAAACTTTGATATTGAGAATTTTGAAGACGTTGTCGCTATGCTGTGTTAAGGAAAAGGATATAAAGAAAAAGGTAAAGAAAAAGGATGTAAAGGGTGAAGGATGTAAAGAAAAAGGTAAAGAAAAAGGATGTAAAGGGTGAAGGGCTCGGAACACGCCAAATGCAATTGAGCCATTGGAAGATCATCAGAGTTGGGCAAATGTGGTCCTCAGAAGCTTTTGGCTTGCAAGATTCCCGCTCACGCCTCCGTCTTGTTTAATGAAACACTGTAACTCACTTAGGAATTAGAGAATTAAACGAAAAGTAACGGAAAGAAGATTCCAGCGCCAACAAAGAGTATATCGAATACAAAGAGTGTCAAACGAAGAACCGCCAAAGTGGCAAAGGAAGTCCCAGGAAACGGGCGCGAATGTACAACACCAAAATAGGAAAACCGATGGAAGAGAGAGAGATCCATATCCAGCCTTTGTAGAGTATGTCAGCCACTGTCTCCAAGGTGACAAAGTTCCTGGGAATATTTTGCTAACTCCACAAGACGGGCCAACAACAAATGTGTGGTAGTAAGCAATTCCTGTTAGTCAAGACACAGTGGCGAAGCAGATGAACACCATAGCATCTATTGCTTCATTGGATTGCAAGTTTACAAATTCAAGTAGCTGTAAAATGATAATCAAAATCCTCGTGAAGACTTCCACCTTCTCGAAATCTCCGAGCTAACGCCAACCCGGATTCAATATCCAGCTACAGAAAAACAACGAAACGAAAGATGTCAAACAAGTTGGCTGGGTTTTCATCAAGTACCCGACTACAACTATCACAGCCGCCAAAGCCAGCAGCAGTTCACGCACTAACACAGCATGAAAAAGGAGATTTACGCAAAATTAAAGTTGCGTAAATCTGAGTAAAGTTCGTTAAGTAAATTTACGCTAGTTTTATAATGTTCGTAAAGACGCTTAATTCCAGATTTACTCTCGATACTCAATTGTAAGCTGCTTTAAAATAGTTTGTACCTATTGCTGCAAAGTTTTATGATGAGCTGCACTGTGAAGTGCATATGAAGCTAGATGTTGCTCCTGGTGGTTTGTTTAAATCAATTACGAACAAGACTACAACAACTTTTTGCGTGATGTCACGAAAAAAGTTGGGGTAGTTTGAGCAGAAACTTGATTTAAGATGCTAAGAACTTATCCAGTTAGTGTGTTGTCAGTATAACGCAGTATATTCTATAGAAATTTGACATGGAGCTTGCTCTATCATTCTTTGAAATAAACAAGGACCACCCAAAAGTATAACCTGATCTACTAGCCCATAACTATATTTGAAGCCCAAGTAAGAAATTCCTTGCAGTTTTCATATTTTCTTAGTGGGAATTTGGCTCAAGATTGCTGTTTTTCATGCGCATGGTTCTGTTGATAAGTCAACTTCTTAAGTTATTTTGAAAAAGAGAAGTCATGACTTGATTACTGTAGAAAAATAAGGTACAGTATTTGGCATCAGTGCAAATAAATCAAGGTTTAATGTGAATTGGAATCAATAATTTTAAAATGTCGAAAATTTTTCGAAGCCTCATAGTTTTTGGTCGACCTTTCCTCTATTTCAATTAAATTGTTGTTTACAACACTTTTTTAATGAGAGTTTTAGAGCTATAGAGTGATAGTTTTGTCATCTCAATAGCATTATAGATACGCAAGAATTTAAGTTTAATTGCAAATAAAACAATTGTCAATCTTCTTTCATGTGTTGAATTTCTTTTTGACTACCTGTATCTGTCCATACAATGTATATAATTTGGACTAACTGGC